TTCTGTTCAGCTGTTAGTTCTCTACAGAGTTTCCCCCGCCTACCTTTCTAGACTCACTGAACATTCTTACTCTTCCTCCTGAATTCTTTGATCTGGCCAAAATGCATAACAATTTCCTATGTGCTTTTGCCCTGGCTGTCCCTCATGCCTAGAAAGTTCTGCATCCTTCCATCTTCTGCCTCTTTGTTTCCCTAGCTTTCTTCCAGGCTCACATCTTACCTTGGACAGGAAGCCTGTCCTAGTTCTCCAAGTAATAAGTGCCTTCCTGTCCCATGATATCTTCTATCTACTCTCTCTAGCTCTTCTATATACCTACTTCTTCATATATTGTCTCACTCATTAGAATATATGCTCCTTGAGGGCAGAGAATATTTTTTTCCCCTTTCCTTGTATACTCAGTATTTAGCACATTGTCTGTCTAGCACACTGTGAACTCTTTAATAAAGGCTTATTGAGTGACTGGAGTTCCCACATTTAAGTGACTACAGGAATAAAAATTACATTGATAAAAAAGAGAATCAAAAAGAGGAAATGGCTTAAGGTAGAATGTGGGTGTTGTAGTAGTTTAGTCATTTTTCAGTCGTGTCCCATTCTTTGTGACTCCTTTTGTTTGTTTGTTTTTCTTGGCAAAGATTCTGGAGTAGTTTGCAATTTCCTTTTCCAGCTCATTTTACAAATGGGGAAACTGAGGCAAACAAAGTTAAATGACTTGCCCAGGGACACACTGCAAGTAAGTGTCTGAAGTCAAATTTGAACTCAAGATGAGTGGTCCTGACTTCAGGCCCAGAACGCTATCCATTGTGCTACCTAGCTGCCCTAGAATGTCAGTAGTGAAGGGGATTACAGTACAAAATAACAGCCTGTTTATCTTGAGAGGATGGTGGAAAATTCTAGTGGAAATATCTGGTAAGCAAGTGGAATTACCTCGAGGTGAAGTAACTGATATCTTAGTTAAGCTACTGATAATTTTCACCACTGTTTTGACAATGAAAGTCATACAAATACTTCATCTTTTATTTTCTCTGTCACAAATTAAAGGTGCCCTTTGAGCAGAAAATATTCATACCCTCCAAAAAGGCAAAGATTTGAGAGATACTCATACTACATTTTAATAAGTTACTGCTTACTCATTGAACTTTAATAAGTTTGCCTTCCTTTTATTAACAAGAGAAATTATATAAACTTATTTTCTTTAGTATTAGTTTAATAATGTCACCTACAAAAACTTTAATACAATGGTGCTTAGTACTTTAAAAAATAATGGCTGAGTTTTTATGTTCCTCTGTGTTTCTGGTGTTTCTTCCCTAAAAGAAATAATCTTGATTGTCTTTGCTATATGCTAAACGTACAGTACAAAGAGAATCCTGCTTCTGTGGAGAGTGAGCCAAGAACATTTTGTTCTGTCTTTACAATGAAATGCAGATTTCCCATTAAAAGGCAAATCCATCATCTCAAATGTTTGAATAGGATAGTACGTTAAAAAAAAATAATTCCAGCTGCTTAAAGTTAGGACATTCAAAAAGTCCAATTGAAGAATATTTGTGGGGTCCCAAGCAATTTTCATTTGATTATGAAATGGATAAATTTTCATTCACTGCAGGCTTTTACCTCTTATATTTTTGTTCTGAAGTAGCCACATGAGTATTGATAGGCATTTGGACCCAGAGAGTCTGTTTAGTATTTAAATGGTTGTTTCACTTGTATTATTCTAATTAAAGATAGCTTTATGTTTGCTAAAATAGTATTTATGATTGTACAAAAAATTTTACTGCAAAAGTTTGCTTCTTTGTACATAAGCCTGACCCTTTCCTATTTTTGCTTCCCCTTCTTTCCTTTCTGGAAAGTCATTCTCTGCCAGGTTTATCTTATCACATGATCACCAAGCAGTTTCTCCCCTCTTCCCCCAATCATTTCTGCTCCTGGGGTAGTAACATGAAGTGCTGCTACTAGCCTCTTCCCATATTTTTAGGCATTTCAGCAAGTTCTCTTCAGTTGTTGATGTATTTTCCCTGCTTTATTTAGAAATCAGAAGCAACAAAGCTAGTGTCATTCCCTGGAGAGTATCCACATGGAATCCACATGCTATGTGACATGCTATATGCATGTTTGTAAGTGCAGGAAGATGGGTGGCTATAACTACTTCAGGTTAGTGAGATTTTTTTGGTCCAGTTTTCAGATCTTTTAAGACAGAAGAGGGAGGCATGAGTGGTGAACCTGAGCTCTCTCTAGTGGACTACAAGCTTGATATTAGTCAGTAGTGTGATATAACAGTGAAGAATGTAAACATAGGCTATATTAAGAGAGACATAGCTTATTGGAGTAAGATTGTAATACTCCCAATGTACTCTGCCCTGGTCAGGCCCCACTTGGAATATTGTCTTCAGCTATGGATGCTGTATTTTTAGGAAGCACGTTGATAAACTAGAAAATTTCCAGAAGAGGGTAAGTGAGAGTGGTGAAGGTTCTTAGGATTATGTGATTTTAGGACCGATTGAAGGAATTATGGTTATTTAATCTGTGGAAGAGAAGACTTGGGAGAGACATGATTACTGTCTTCAAAAACTAGGTACTAACAAGTATGTGTTGGCTTGTCATTGACACTTCTCAGAGCTTCTCAGTAAGGTGGTCTGACAGGGTAACAAAATAGAGCAAAACCAAAGTGCATTTTGAGGTCTGAAGTTTTCAGAATAGGCCATGTGTTCTATAGATATTTATGAATGATGTGGAAATTAATGTTACATACACAGATAATATGTGTGAAAAGTAATAAAGGTGTGATACAATAATAGGCATTATCATTGGTTTGGTAGAAGTGGTAACCAAGTTCTTCTAAATCAGCACAAGAGGTAAATGCTAATATGGAAATGCCTCTGCTAAAAGATTATAATACGGCAATTATGAAATGGCATTTATAATACCTCAGTGAAGTTCATCTTGTACTGACATCCTTAAATTCTGTCCTTGTTCTGGCTAAGGCCCTGAGTTAGAGAAAATCCAATATTTCTGGTTCATCAAAGGCCAATCCAAAATGGAACTGGCAATTCTCAGGGTTCCTACGATGAATATTTAGTTCTTGCCTACCTGTTTCTCTGGGGTAGCTAGGAATCAGCATTCATGGTATCTAGGGACCTGAGCTAATAGTACTCTAAAGGAAGTTTTTCTGAAGTTTTTTGCTGCTCATACTGCGTGCCAGGATCCGCTCTCCATGGATGTATCACTTAGATGTAAAGAGTGACATTGTAAACAAAGAGGAGGATCGAGGAAGAAATTGCCTTAAGATCCAAGGATAGGGAGTCTCTGCATCTACACAAGACACCAAGAGGATCTAGGGAGATAGATGGACAGTTCTGATTACCTAAAATTTAAGAGTTTTCACACAAAGAAAGCCAAAAAGTCCTCGCAGCGAATTTCTCTGATAAAGATTTCATTTTCAAGATACATAAGGAACTGGTTCACATTTATAGGACTGATAAATCATTAAGGAATATGAACTACCAGTTTTCTAAGAAAGAGATCCAAGCTTTCTATACCTATGTGAACAAAATCCTCCAAATGACTAATGATTTTTAAAATGCATAGCCTTCAGGTGGATACAGCTGACCAAAAAATGGCAAATTTTGGAGAGGCTATGGGAAAACAGGCACACTGGTACATTGTTGGCGGATTGTGAACTACTAGGGCCATTCTGGAGAGCCACTTGGAAGTGTTCCCCCTTTGACCAGCAACACCCAGCAGTTAGGCCTATATCCCCCCCAAACAACAAAGAGATGGGGAAAGGAAACATGTAACAAAAATATTCACAGCAGCCAATTATTTTTTATGGTGGCAAAGAACTGAAAAATAAGGAAGTACTTATCGATTGAGTAATGGTTGAACAAATTATGGTATATGAATACTATTATACTGGAAGTCATAATAAAAGAGACACTTTCAGAAAAAACTAGGAAAACTTGTGTGAAATGATGCAGAATGAAATAAATAGATCCAGAACAGTTTGCATAATAATAATAATAACATTATAAAGACAAAGAACTTAGAAACACTCAAAAATTCTGATCAGCATAATGATGAACCACATTTTCAGAAGACCCATGCGACCTGTTTTCCTGACAGAGAGAGGGCTGATGGGCTCAGGGTGCAGACTGAGACATCTTTTTCTGGACATGGCCAGTGCAGGAATCAGATTTACTTAAATATTCACATTTGTTACAAGAATTTTCTTTTTTCTTTTCTTTTCCCCTGGAGGAAGAGAAAATAGATTTTTGTTAATTAAAAAATTAAATTAATTTAAAATTTTAAAGAGTCTTGCCAACTACCATTGCATTTTATAAAACCAACTTTGTAGCATTGGCAAGCTACTTCTTCATTGTGCATTTCCCTCTCTTAATTTCTAAGAATGATTTATTCAAAAGAGAATTGATTCTAGTCAGCTTCAGTCTACTTGTACAGGGTTCTATTTTTCTAAATATGTCAGCCATTTTCACAAATAATATACTAAGCTGACATTTAATTTCTGACCCAACTAAAGAAAAACTGTATCTGAGTGTACAGGGGGTACCATATACTGTTGTCCTCGTGTTTCCAGTCATTGCCAGCACTGGCTATCAAAACTGCTTATGCTGCAAATAAAATTTGAAATGAAACCCATCTGGTGTTTCTCATTGAATTAGGACCAGAACATTTCTTTTAAATATTAACAGATGGTTAAATTCTTAATATCAAACTAACATTTTAAAACATCTGAGGGGACCCACTAAAAGGGGAAAAGGATAGAGGGCCATGTGTTTTTTCCATTCCCAAATCCTATATTTCCCCTCCCCCTGTCATTCCAAGCCACGTCTCAAGGATTATTAGACTTCTATCTCAAGTGTTTCTTTATTACTTAGTAGCTGTATTTAGGTATCAAGGTAATGTAATCAAATAGCTGGGGCTATGTTGCTGTTGGCATATTCCAACAAGTTTTATTAGAACAAATTTTTTCCTTGTGCTTTTTTCCATAGGAAAAAGAAAAGAAATACATGCTTCCCTTGGACAACCTGAAAGTTCGAGATGTGGAAAAGAGCTTTATGTCTAGCAAGCATATCTTTGCACTTTTTAACACAGAGCAGAGGTAAGAAAATAAAGGAGGTTCTCCTTTCATGGATTTAGCTAAAGATGACTAAGATTCAAAGGTGCACGTGCACGCGCGCGTGCACACACACACACACACACACACACACACACACACAATCTCTTTATTCCTACTCCTAAATTGGTTGACTTTTTAGGTTTCTACTTTCATTCAGTTTATTTTTATATCCTCTCCACTGTATAAGGTTTTGGTATTATTTTTTCAGGTTAATTTTTTATTATTTTATTTATTTGTTTTTATTTTTCAACATTTGCTTGTATAAGATTTTGCTTTCTAAATTTTCTCCCCCTCTCTCTGCTCCCACCTCCCTATGCTCCCCCCACCCCAAGACAGCATGCAATCTGATATAGGCTATATATGTACAATCATATTAAATGCGTTTCTACATTAGTCATGTTGTAAAGAAGAATTAGAACCAAAGGGGAAGACCAAGAGAAAGAAGAAAGAGAGAGAGAGAGAGAGAGAAACAGAGAGAGAAGAGAGAGAGAGAGAGAGAGAGAGGAGAGAGAGAGAGAGAGAGAGAGAGAGAGAGAGAGAGAATGAGAGAATAGTATGCTTCAAGCTGTATTCAGATTCCATAGTTCTTTCTCTGAGTGTGGATAGCATTTTCCAACATCAGTCTTGGGTAATTGTCTTAGATCTTTGTATTGCTGAGAAGAGTTAAGTCTATCAAAGCTGGTCATCACACAATGTTGCTGTTACTATGTACAATGTTCTGGTTCTGCTCACTTTACTCAGTATCAGTTCATATCTTTCCAGTTTTATCTCGAGTCCACTTGTTCACAATTACAAAACACTTTTCACACAAATAAAGGCAGATCTAAACAACTGGAAAAATATCAGTTGCTCATGGGTTAGGCCAAGCCAATATAATAAAAATGACAATTCTACCTAAACTAATTTATTTATTTAGTGCCATACCAATCAAACTACCAAAAATTATTTTATAGAGCTAGAAAAAATAATAACAAAATTCATCTGGAAGAACAAAAGGTCCAGAATATAAAGGGAATAATGAAAAGAAATACAAAGGAAGGTGGCCTAGCTGTACCAGATCTAAAACTGTATTATAAAGCAGTCATCATCAAAACTACTTGATGCTGGCTAAGAAAAAGAGTGATGAATCGGTGGAATAGGTTAGGTATGTAAGACACGGTAGACAATGACTATAGTAATCTACCGTTTGATAAACCCAAAGACTTTAGCTTCTGGGATAAGAACTCATTATCTAACAGAAACTGTTGGGAAAACTAAAAAATAGTATGGCAGAAACTAGGCATAGACCAGCATCTTAGAGCGTACACCAAGATGTGGTCAAAACGGTACATGATTTAGACATAAAGCATGAGACGGTAAGCAAATTAGGAGAGCAAGGAATAGTTTACCTATTTGATCTATGGAGGATGGAAGAATTTATGACCAAACAAGAGATAGAGAATATTATGAAATGCAAAATGGATAATTTTGATTATATTAAATTAAAAAGGGTTTGCACAAACAAAGCCAATGTAACCAAGAGTAGAATGGAAGCAGAAAGCTTGGAAACAATTTTTACAGCCAGTGTCTCTGATAAAGGCCTCATTTCTAATATATATAGAGAACTGGGTTTTGTTATTCTTTTAAGTATGAGAGGTATTTCTAAATATCATCTTATTTTTCTAATGACTTTAAGAGAGAGCCACTCTACATAAAAGCTTTCCTTTACCTGAATTTAGAATTTATGTGCTATTATTTAAAAGGCAAGGTAATAATTAAAAGTAGACTAGCCTTACAATCAGAAGGCTTAGGCTTGTATCCTGTCTTTATAAGCTACTAATTGTGAAGAAGTATTTACTCTGAGCCTCAGTTTCCTCCTATTTTAAAATAGGGATAAGAATACCGCTGCCTACATCACAAAAATATTTTAAGAATCAAAGTAGGTTATGGATATAAAGTTGTTAATGGTAAGGTTCTATATAAGTTGAATAATTTTTATCAATATTAACATCATTGTCAGTCACAATGCCTTTGTTTCATATATTAAATTGCAGGTGCCAACAACAGCCCATTAAATAATGTCTATCCAGATATATATTATGACAAATATATATGCATATATATACATGTACATCCTAGTACAGATGATCATAATAATGTTCTGTTTGTATAGAGCTTCACAGTTTGTGAAAGCCTTTTCACTTACAGTATATATGTAGGAGTGAAGCCTTTATATTTACTTTCAAAGGCACAATCAGAAATATACAAAATTATTGCCCCCAGTTCATGAAAGGCACGATCACCCTCCCCTCTTGCACCGTGTGAGTCTCTGGGGAGGGAATGGGGATTAGAGTCACAGTTTAGCCCAACTACCTTAGAGTGTAGTCTGAAGTTCCAGGTCCCAAACCTATCTCAGGTTCAAGTAGAGGTCCCCTGGTTGGTTAGCTGCACCACCCCACTTGCAGTCCTGGCACTACTGTCACCCAGGCACATAGGGATCCCCTCCAGTACCTGTAACTGAAGGCTAACCCCCAAACTGAAACACACGTGTCCATGCCCATTTCTTTGAGCTGGGTTAAAAGAGATAAGCAGAGAAAGGCAAGTCCCTCCCTTCTCCCTGGTTCATTCAGTTTAGGCTTGACTTGGAAAGATGCTCAAGATAATGTGATGATAGTTTTACATCAGTATTTCCTTCTGGGCAGTAGTTTCAGATCTATGTGTGTGTGTGTGTGTGTGTGTGTGTGTATAGAAACATAAATATATACATGCATACATATACGAAGGTCACTATGAGCTTCATACCAACATTGTTCAATTAGAGAAAGTAAAATAAATAAAATTGAAAAGGGTGGAAAGTTTAAAATAGGTGTGAAACAAGGAAGTAATTTTTAATTGGAAAAATCAATAGGAACAAAACCAAATAATTCTGCGTCTGTGAGTCAATTATGACGGAACATCAACATCACTTTGTGAAATCTGATTTTTAACAAGTGCCTCCAGATTTCCTCGCATCTCCATGTGCAGATGAATAAAAGCAAATTATTATTCAGGGACTGCTCCAGAGTCATCACACAGTAAGGCAATGATTGAACAAGAGACCAAAGCTCCTTCCTTTGCTTCTAGCCTATTGCTCAGACGGACTCTAACCACAGCAATGAGAGAATTAAAAAGAAATAGAAAAGAACAACAAAGACATTCTAAAGAAAAATAAAATGGCCTTTAAAATTGTCATCTTTACCATAGAGGAATTGGAGTAAAGGCACTAAAGTAATGGAAGAAAAGAAAAGAGGAGTTTGCGTAGATAGAGCAATGAAATATTTCCTGAATAAGGGCCAAACTAGAATTAATTTAGAGGCCATCTTCAGGGGAATTGGGTGTGCCGCTAAAGTGAGCTGCAAAGAAGTATTCCACATGGCATGGGCCTGGATCTTCCATGTTTCCATCTTGATGAATAGGAAATTTAATTGGCAAATCAGAAGTCAGAGTGAATCCTGAGTCTTTAGACAACCCAGATAGTACACGATCTAGATGTCACTAAAATAAGAATTTCCTTGTGACAGAAATATCCTGGAAAGCTCAGATCTCTCAGCAGACATTATGATCTCCTTGAATGGGATCCTCTGGCAACTCATGACCAATAGTCATGACATGTAGTCATGTATTCATGACTTGTGGGCATGAATGTCCAGTTATATAAAACAGAGCAGTCAGCCTTTTTTTAATCTTCTAGATATATTTAAGGGCAGCTAAATGGCTCAGTAGATAGAGTGCTGGCCCTGGAGTCAGGAAGACTAATCTTCCTGAGTTCAAATCTGGCCTCAGGCAGTTACTAGCTACATGACTCCATCTGTAAAATGAGTTGGAGAAGGGAGTGGCAAATTACTCCAGTGTCTTTGTCAAGAAAATACCAAAATCAGGTCATAAAGAGTCAGACACAACTGAAATGACTGAACAACAACAACCTGACAAACCTCAAGGCTACTTTGATGCTCTCAGGACTGTCATAGTGGTCATGCTTGGAATGTGAACAGAGCATAAGGAGGAACCAGGTTCAGTCTAAATCTTTCAGGAAGTTCATTTTCAGTTTGCACTAAATGGAGAAATCTAAAAAACCCTTAGAGGGAGGGATTGTTCTATCGCCTTCTTTCCTCCAATATTCTGATATGCTTTAAAGAAATGTGTACCTTCCTGTAGGCTATATTAGAAAGTGTAGGGGGCAGCTAGGTGGTGCAGTGGATAGAGCACCGGCCCTGGAGTCAGGAAGACCTGGGTTCAAATCTGGTCTCTGACCAGACAGTTGACACTTTACTAGCTATGTGACCTGGGGCAAGTCACTTAACCCCATTGCCTAGCCACCCTCCCCCCACGCAAAAATAAAGTGTATCAGAAACACATTGGTTTATTGGTATATCTCTATCCCATCAATGCACAAACATGTCTTGAGTCCAGATGCTAGAAGCCCATCCTAGATCCCTGAGACCTCAAAACCCACGAAACTGAGAAGGTCGTGTGACACAGTGGGAAGAGCCCTCGCCTTGGAGTTATTAGGTGACCTGAACCAGAATCTCAGCTCTGATGCTCACTAACTGCGGGAGCAGGAGTGAGTTTCAAACACATCTGAACCTTAGTTATTTACTTTGTGGGGAAAAAATAGATGATAATTCTTGCATTGTCTCTCTCCCAGGTCTGTGGGGTTTCATTATTGTTGGGGAATACGTGATAAAGTATGATGAGTAACTAGTGCTTGAGGGAGGGAATTCTTCTCATGCTGTTTTCTAGTACTTGCACATGTTTTCTTGTTCCATTAGCAAGAACTCTAATGAAATATGAAATCCTTTGGATAAATACAGTATTTAATAGACTTGGACAGAGAAATACTATTCTATCAAACTTGAACTTGATTCATATGGTCCTCCATAAAATGTGTCCATTAAAAAGCATTTATTGAGCACAGCTTTGAGTCTGTGTGCTATTTGAAAGACATGATCCATAAAGGGTGTGCA